TAGAGATAGAGATAGAGATAGAGATAGAGATAGAGATAGAGATAGAGATAGAGATAGAGATAGAGATAGAGATATAGATGTAGACAGCCTGTATATTTTATGGACATGTCTAACATCTAATAGCATTTTTTAAAAAAAGCTCTTTGGGGCAATGGATACATTGCAAAGTGAGAAATAAATAAGCAGGTAACATCTTTATATCTTCACATCTTTCAAAAAAAATCAATTCCTAAAATCTGTTGTGAATATTTCCAAGCTGCTATAATGGAAGATTTTGTTTTGCTAACAAATAAAGAATAAGTACTGTTCTGTACACTTAAATGACTTAAACAGGTTAATAGCTTGCTAATAATCTTGCACCAACGGGAGTTAATGGAGGTGATTATTCTCTTGATAATTTGCGTAGGAGAGACCTGTTGATATTTTTTAAAATATAGGATTCAATCTAGCCTAAGCAAGTTTTAAGCAATTGCATGTTGAATTTAGAGACTAAGATTATGAGGAGTAAAACTCACTAAGATGAAGCACTATGGAGTAAAACAGTAATAGAGCTTTGTGCCCTGAAGTCATGATGTACCACCAGCATGTGATTCCCAAAATTAGCAGTCAGAGAGCAGTGGGGGGTGGGGTGACCATTGTAATATCCTGCTTATTTCTTTTATTCAAACTGTAGATTCGGGTCCAGGAATCCCAACTGCATCAAGTGGAAGACAAGAATTGTTTTTAATTTAAGAACCTAAGCCAGTATGCATTCAAATCCATTAGAACCCTTCACTGATTCCCAAATTCCCCAATGAATACATCCAAGCTTATTGTTGGCGTTCCAAGTAACAACCTCCGAAGACTCCGAGGCTAGCATTTCCTCAAAGATTCATTTTATTAGAGGTGTCATATTGGCACATCTGAGAAAACCTGAATCTGAGAGTTCCGGGTTTTCCCCACCCAAAGGGAAATCAAAGATTCATCCCCTGCACCCACAAGTCCATCACATGGCCCAATCATGTCTTTGTCCCGACTGGAGACTACCCCCAGTCACTCCCCTCCAGGTGCAGGGCAAATGTCCTTGACTCCCAGAGACAGGAATGTTGTGGCTAATCTTCCACCGCTCCTTACAACCCCCCCTCCCACTTTTCCAGGCACTAAATGTGGCAGCCTCAAAGCTCCAAAGAAGAATGTCTTCCAAAGCTGACACTTACAATCATATATGAGCACATCCAGAACAGCATCACAGAGGGTTTTCCAGTTTAGAAAGTTCTGGGTACATCATGTCTTAGTTTAGAAGGGCAGTTCAGAAAGCAGACATAACTAC